TATGTCAAATATATGTGAATTTTCTCTCCATTGATCATATCAGCTTTAGTGGTTTATTTTCATTTAAGAATAAAATATTATTATATAGCCTATATATGCAAGTGGCTATTTTCCAGCGCTGAGCCGGTCAATATATTGACGGCTATTCTCCGGCGTCACGTATAGTCTTACGGACATAGATCTAGTATGGTCCGTTGCCGTTGCACATGTCGCTTCCCCACAGCATCTCCCCTCGTTATGACCTTACACAAACACTCATCAGGGTCGCCATTTCTTCAGAATGCGATTCACCATGCCATAAGTAAGGTGAACATGCAGCCAATACTCAATGAAAGCTCCAGTACTCCAGTGATGGAAGACGGACGAATTTCTGTGAGGTGACAGCACCAACTCAACATTAATAACAACCTTCAGTCACAAAATCAAAAAATAGCTAGATCTTAGATCTAGATCTTAGATCTAGATCTAGATCTAGATATCTAGATCTAGATATCTAGATCTAGATCTAGATCTAAGATCTAGATCTAAGATCTAGCTATTTTTTGATTTTGTGACTGAAGGTTGTTATTAATGTTGAGTTGGTGCTGTCACCTCACAGAAATTCGTCCGTCTTCCATCACTGGAGTACTGGAGCTTTCATTGAGTATTGGCTGCATGTTCACCTTACTTATGGCATGGTGAATCGCATTCTGAAGAAATGGCGACCCTGATGAGTGTTTGTGTAAGGTCATAACGAGGGGAGATGCTGTGGGGAAGCGACATGTGCAACGGCAACGGACCATACTAGATCTATGTCCGTAAGACTATACGTGACGCCGGAGAATAGCCGTCAATATATTGACCGGCTCAGCGCTGGAAAATAGCCACTTGCATATATAGGCTATATAATAATATTTTATTCTTAAATGAAAATAAACCACTAAAGCTGATATGATCAATGGAGAGAAAATTCACATATATTTGACATAGCCTACAACAGTTTGTTAAATTTTGACTTTTTGTTATATTATGATGGTGTGATTTCGATCTTGTATTGTCAGTACTGATAATGATAGATTTCTGGTTTTGGGCTTCGGATACAGTCTAAGTGTGTGCTCTTTACTCTTTGAGTCTTGAATGCTAAAGTGTGCATTCTTTCACAAATCAGAAAGAAAAAGGAATGTGGTTGTGATACTTGGAAAGTTGGAGAAGGGGGGTGAATGTGAAGCTTTATATTTAAATAGTTTTTAAATGCTTTTTTAAAGTTTTGTAGTTTTGAACAAAGTTTTATTTCTCTCTAAGTTTCTTTAAAATCCCTTCAGATTTACCATTTGTCCTAATACATCCATGTGCCTTTGTGGATTTCAATATTCATAAAAGCTTTCATTTTTTATTGACTTGATTTGACTATTGCCAGGAAGGTGTAAATTTGTTTAATAAAACTAGTCAGGTTACAGTAAGATTGGGTAAGAACCTGATTGTAACTGTTCTCTAAGAAAAATGAAATGGGCAAGAAATTTCATCAAGCATAAACTCCGCTAAGATTGAACAAAGAATACCTTCTTTTGACTTTATCTTATGTGTGAAATACTGATAAAATAGGTTGGTATCATCTGTGTTTGAAGATAAATACCTTATAGCACTTTTACTTAAACGAAGTGGCTAGCCGTACTTACCCTGCCAGTCTAGCCGTACACTTAGATTAGGGTTAGGCCCTATTGAGCGAAACCTGTTGAGTACACAGGTCTCATTAGGTCTAGTAATTATTCAGGTTTAAATTACATGCATGTTAGTAAGGCACCTTTGGTTTCGTCTGAAATACAAATACTTTAGGTATTGTGAACTAAAATTTTATTTACAATTCTGCCATCATTATTTAGTACAGCTAGCTTGCTAGTCTAACCGTCCTTAAGTACGGCTAGCCTGCCAGTCTAGCCGTACTTAGGTAAAACTCTTTAACCATGCAATTTATAATCACATTTCCATGTAATTCTCTTGTGGAAATGCGACCCGACATATACGTATACGTTTTTAGAACCGCTTGGTTTGTGTCAAACTGATCAATAAAGCATTACCCAGACGTAGAATTAATTTATCTTTGACTTCCGGATCAAACTAAAGGCTTGTTAGCTCGTACTTTTTTATATTCAGCCCGTATCATAATATAATAATAACTTCGCATCGGACGGTGATACCGTCCAGCCATGGTTGCGGACCTCGGCTACCGGATGCTGCCACAGTCCAGACATTGTTAAAGAGTTCAGACCCATTGATGAAAACCTGTTGAGTACACAGGCCTCATTAGTAATTATTCAGGTTTAAAATACATGCAAAAGTGAGGCACCTTTTGGTTTTGTCTCAAATACAAATACTTTAGGTATTGCAAACTAAAAATTTATTTACAATTCAGTAGGCCTATTTTTTGCTGTTTATCAGTCTAGCCGTCTTTTATTAAGTATGGCTAGCCTAGCCGTTTAACCACCATTATGTACGGCTAGCTTCTTCCTTACTTATACTTCAACTACTACGACTACTTCTTCTACAACTACTACGACTACTTCTTCTACAACTACTACTAGCACTGCTACTACTACAAGTACTACTATCTATTACTAGACTACTACTAATTACTACCATTACTGATGTCACAACTACTTTTTCAACGACTACTACTCTGCAACAGATCAAGGTTGCTCAATAGTTTGTGAATTTGATTTCTATTGCAGGCTGAAATGAACCTGAAATCTTGTACATATATCTGTATTTTCACTTTCTCCTTTCATATATGTTTCAGTAGGGATCTGTGGTGTTGTAGAACATCATGGCTGCCTCCTCAACGGCGTCTGCTCAGGCACAGCAGAAGTTCAGCAATATACGACGGAGGCTGGATCAGTTGGGCTACAAGCAGACCTTAGGAATTGAATCTCTGCCTCTTGTGGAAAAGCTGTTTGCAGACTTAGTTCATACAACAGAAAGTTTGAAAAATGCAAAGTTGGAGCTGTCTAAAAAGGTATAATGTTTTTAAATCCTTTAAAGCCTTCTTATGCTGTTAAAATAACTTTTCAACGTAATTCATGATTATATTTACCTGTCACTGTCTAAAAAAGAAATATTTAAAAAGATAGATATTCAATGGTATTTAAGTGCCCCTCTGTATTCTGTACAGGGATGTCTCAGGTGATTGCTGTTTATGTAGGTCATTCAGAATATGGAAACATTTGGGGGAATGGCTCTATCTACGCTGTATTTGAAAAAAATTCTCCAACATCAACACATAATTTCCGCTGATAGTACATACAAACAATAAATTTTAATTGAGCCCATCCTGGTGTGGAAATCTGAATGTTTTGTCTGGAAAAAGACTTTAGATTTGTCTGCAATATCTGAAACAAATTTTATTTGTGCCTATTGGTAAACTTTTAAAAGGCTTGTTTTTAACAGTAATAGGCTTGATATCAAGGTGTGACAGGACATTTTTGTCTTTGAGATTTAAGTTGAAACAATGATATGTGTGTTTTACGTTTGTTTTGCTTTGGTTGTCGGTTGCAGACTGAGGCAGACACGGACGTGGAGTCAGCCGTGGAGCCCTACAAGAGTGACAATGCCAAGTTGATAAGAGAGAACAATGAGATGCACATGACGGTCGTCAAACAGAAAGAGGACAGTGACACAGCCATAAGAGGTGATTTCACACTGGGCTGTAAATTTTAAAAACATTTTTGGGTAGACTGTGACTCCCATCTCTCATTGTTGGAGAAGCCTTAATGGACTAGTTTAGTATGTTTGTTACTGTGCAAAGTTAAAAGGGGGTGGTTGGAGGGTGCCACTGACAGATCAAACTTCTTTCCTTATCCGTTGCTGCATGTGTCTGCTACTGATCCGTCCATCTCCTTTCCTTTCCCTCTGCTTTCTCGTGTCTACCACTGATAGGTCCTTCTCCTTTTCTTTCCCTCGTTATTTTTGCGGCAATGAATAGCGACAATAGTGTGGGTGTGTTTCTTTTTACTGGTACTTGCAGAATTAAAAGCAGGTGGTTGGTTGGTGCCACTGATAGGTCCTACTTCTTTTCTTTCTTTCTGCTGTATCAATCTGTCTGCCTCTCTTGCTTTTTCTTTGCACTAAATTACCATTATTGTGTTGTTATGCTTCTCTATACTCACTCAACTGAGGTGTGTTGAACTAAGGTTTCTTTAAAGTAAAAAAAATCGTACTCAAAATGTGGAAAATCTGTACTTAATGTTTATCTTACTTCTTCCTTGTACTGACTGGCAGTTATCATGTGGAGGTGCTTCTGTCTTCTCATACATGCAAAATTAAAGGTGGATGGTTGGAAGGGCCACTGATAGGTCCTGCTTTTTTTCCCCGCTGTTCTATGTATGTCTGTCTTGTTTGCTTTTTAGTTGCACTGAATGACTGTTATCTTTTCATTCTTCTCTGTCACTCTGTTGTATCCGCCAGTCTATGGTTATCGCTACAATGTCCTTCTTTTTATTCTAGCTCTAACATTTTACCGTCTCAACTGGGGTGTGTTGAATTTGGGTTTGTTGAACTGGTATTTCATAACAGTTTAATCAATCAAATTGAATGTCTCATAAAATTTGTACAATATTGAAAGGTGTTGGCAGTTCCAAGCACATAAATGGTCTTGTCTATCTGCCTACCTTGATTTTTTCCCTTCACTAAATTACTGTTTTTTTTGGCCTGTCCCGATGGTATTATGCACCCCGCCACCCTGCATAATTTAGCAAAATTTGATAATTTTTTTCATAATTTCTGGTTATTTTCCTTTATCATTCTTTGTTAAAATTAACAGAATCGCTTAATTTCACATTTTTGGGCTCAGTTTGCATAATTTCCGAATTTTTCTTGCATAAAACGACGGGAACAGATTGGCTCAGCCCTTGGTAGGGAACCTCAAAACTACGGGAGCTTGGAGAACCTACAGCGAACCGCAGCCTTCATGCTAGAGACTGGGTTGTTCATTGAAATAAAGATAAATGAGAAAAAGAATAGGAAATGACTGTTATTGTTGGATGTGCTTCTCTTTACTAATCCATAGCAAGTGGTTTGAGGTGAGGGTGTCACTAGTAGGCCCGTCTCTCCCTCAATTGTGTCTGTCTGCTTATCTTTCTTTTTCCCTTCGCAAAATTATAGTTTTATTATAAATATGTGCTTCTTTTCACTGTTGATTCTAACTCTGTACATGAACACACAGAACTGAAGGCGTCATTGAGAGACCTGGAGCACAAAAATGCAGATCTGAAGTTCCTCAACAACCAGTATGTACACAAGGTCAAGCAGCTGGAGCGTGAGTCCAAGGACAAGTCGGACACAATACTCAAACTACAGGAGAAAAATTTCCACGCTGTGGTGCAGACGCCCGGTGGGTTTCTCTCTTCTGTGTGTTCCATAATTCCCTTTTTTAAAACCTCAACTTGAGTTGGCACTTACAGGCTGCAAGAGGCCTAATTATTTGAGAAATTCGCCAAAAAAAATTGAATCAAAGCCTTGGCACGAGAAATTTCTTCTTGTGTTGAGACTTTTACACAACTGTTTTGTGATTTACTCTTGTGCTTGCACTTTCCTATTTATTTTCCTATTTTCTTGCTACATCTACCATGCTCCATCTGCTGACTTTTTGATGTCTTTGGTGTAATGGTTAAGCCCTTCAGCATTGGAAGAAGATGAGTTTGATTCTTATATTGAGAAGTTATTTTATTGAATATCTTTATCTGTCTGCTGGAATGTTGTAACCCCTGCCCCCCCTCTTTTCAGCTTGGGCTAAGAGAGAGAGAGAGAGAGAGAGGAGAACATATCTATCTCAAGTCTGTCACGTGTGTTTGAACAAGAATGAGTAAAGTGAGTGTAAAGATTTAACAAAATATTTTTGTTTTCAGGGGGAAGGAAGAAGAAGATTCCGTTTAGACGACAACGAATGGAAATTGACCAAGCTGTCCCTGAGAACGGAGGTTTTGGGTTCAACATCCCCCCGCCAGATGACCCTTATGTTGCTGACCTACTTCAGGTAACTCCTTGTGATTGCAGAAGTCAGAATGAGAGAGAAAGAGAATGCGAAACAAGAGAAAAAGAATGTCAGAGAGAGTGAGAGAAAGAGAGCCGGAGAAGGAGAGAGAAAGTATATAGGGGAGGGGGTGGGCAGGAAGAAGCAGATGAAGGGGAAGGGTGCAATCCATCCATAATTTTAACTCCTTTATTGCCATGTAATTTGACGTGGCATTTCTAGGGTGAAAATAATTATATTTTGTAATATAGGCTTTTGAATGCTAATGAATTGCACAGAATAACAGAAAAGTGACTTTTTTGTTATCCTGTGAAATTGATATAGATGTAGTAATATTTGTATATTTGACCGTATCAAAACTGCTTACGTCAAAGGTTTGAGGCTGTTCTTTTTTACATGGCTATCTACTCATTAAAACTGAATGATGCACATTGATGCTTGTGCACAGGTTTGTTGCTTGACATTTTGTATGAAATACTTCTTTGAGAAAACTTCCTGGCATGTCGGTAAACGTGCATGTGTGTGAGTGTGTGTATGTAGATGATTCATGCTTTTTGTGTAAAATTTAATGGTTTCAAGTCTGATTATGTGTGTGTGTATGTGTGGGAGAATGCTATGTTTGTAAAATTTTATGAACTTAGTAGTCTGTTTGAATGTGTGTGTATACGTGCATGTGCATGCGTGTGAGCGTGCATGCGCGTACATGTGCGTGTGTGTGTGGTAAATACTGTGTGTAAACTTTGATGATTTCAATATTCAGTTTACATGTGCGTGTGTGTGCAGGTGGCAGATGCTCGAATAGCAGAGCTAGAGGCAGCTGTCCAGTCAGCAGCTGACCAGAAGGACGTCACAGACAGAAAACTACAGGGCTTCAGAGAGCAGGTCAGTGTTCTGATATTGTTTGTTGCGGATGTTTGGATGGAGCCTTTTGTAGCTCCTACTTCTCCCACCCCTCACCCACCCAAGTTTCTTCCTCTTCTTTGTTGCTTTTGTCTGTCTTTCATTTCTCAGCACTGAGCGAATGACTGTTGTTGTGTGAATGTGCTTCTCTTTACTCACACAAACATACGAACAAAAGCAATCGTTGCTGAGGTGCTTGTCTGTCTATTGTTTTGTCTGTGTTTTGTTTTTTTAGTGCATGTGGGTAGTTGGCGGATGCTCTGACATGGTATGTTCCTTTTTTCCAACCAAACATCTATTGTCCTTATCTCTTGTCCTTCTTTTTTTTGTGTGCGTTTGTTACTCTCTTTTAACACCTACTCTTTTGCACTTATGTGAACTATGTGTGTTACAAGTGTTTTAAAACTTTTACAAGAACAAAAAATGTCAGTGCATGGCAGGGGAGAGAGGTGGGAGCAGGAAGGGTTGCCAAGGGGAGTAAACAGGGTTTTTCTTCCCTTGAATGAGATGAGTCCTGAGTGCTTACCTCCCTTTAGTTTCTGAACCCCCACAGTCATGATGCCGATAATGATATCTCTGTTCCTGCCAACGATGGTGTACAAGATACATTTTTACACTCTTGATGTCTTATTTTTGGCTTGCACAGCTTCTCCTGTAGTGTTAATGGGGTTGGCCATGTTTTATGTCTTTGGACCCTATGTGTCCTGCACTGCTGGAGGATGTTCTATCCATGTGATCTCACAGAGATGTTGCCACCAGTGTTTAAGAAGTCATTTGCTTCAATGTATAGTGTTGACAGACAACTTGTAAAATGAGTCAAGCTCTTATGTTTCTATTGTAACATTTTGTTTGTTTGTGAACATTTTGGTGTGTTCTGCTTCTTCGACTCCTTACGAATTTAAATGTCGTCTCAATCCGTTCCTGGTGAAATGTGACTATTGTCATGCTTATGTTGCATTAACTACTACTAAAAATTTTGACAATGGTTTAAATGGGAATGCTCACCTCTTCAAGTGAGACTGGTTTTGTCCCTTTGAGATAATTTCCAATGACACCTCTTATGCTTTGATGATTGCTTTTCTTTAGTAAGCTTGTCAGCTGTTTTGTTGTTACAGGGATGGGGATTCTCTGAAAATTTTCGGAATTCGAAATTTCTTTTTTTTTTTTAAATTGCCGACAATTGTACAGTTGCATTATGGATTTGAACAATTTCTTGCTGTGGGAAAGTGGGTGTTAACAAACTATTGCTATTGTATTTTTTTTATTTCATAAATTTTGTTTGTTACCTAGTGAAATAACACCTTATTGTAATTCTTTAAAAAAAATTCAAAACACTCTCAGAGACTACGTTTTTAAAGTTTAAAACGTAAATTTCTTCCCCCTGACCCTGTGCTGCTGTCGCAGAATCTTTAGAAAAATATTTTGGGATTAGTCCCCATCCCTATTGTTACTTGTATTGTAGACTTTTGTGGCTGAGTGAGGTAGCAGTGTTAATAGCGGTGTCTTTGCCCTTCATTAAACTGCCTAATTTGCTTATTAGGAATTATTCAAAATGCATGTATTACCTCAAGCTAGCATCTGTCATGAGGGTCAACTCAAATCATCAGACTAGACGAGCGGGCTGGTTAGTTGGTCAGGACCATGGCTACTAATTATATGCTCTCTGGGAGAAATTGTACTCTTGGAATAATCTAGATTTTTCTATAAGTGGCCCTAAATTAAATGAAAAAAAAACACAATGTGTACACCTGTGAGTTTAGTGAATGTTTGGAAAATGTAGATTGAGTGTAGAATGCTGAGACAGATTTGTTCGAAAACTTTCTTTAAATCGAGTGTTCTCTTCATTTGTCATGACTGGAATGTTAAGGGGAGATAGATGAGTGTACTTATAGGTGGTCATTAAGATGTTAATGCAGGTTATTTTAACACAACCTGCTTTGATGTAAAAATAACAGTATGACTCAAGTTGGTTGAAAGATGGTGACTAGTAGTTTCCCCTATGACAGTTAAACAGTATGACGCGGTTACTTGGTAGTTTTTCTTGTAACAGTTGAACACAGTCACCTGTACTTTTTCTTGTGACACAGTCACTTCAAGTTGCTCTTGTTACAGTTAAACACAGTGAGGCTACTTCTGGTTGTTATTTTAACAGTTAAACTTATGCAGTAACTTGTAGTTTTTCTTGTAACAGATAAACATGGTCACTTGCAGTTTTTTTTTGTTGACAAATAAAAATTGTTACTTGTAGTCTTTTTTCTCCCAGAAGAACTGAGGCATGACATAATGTAGGTGGACAATATTGTTGAGATATTTTTAAATATTGGGTTTGTTTTGATCCTCTCCGGTTCTTTCTATTTAGACAGTCTCTCTTTTTGCCTTTGTGGGACCTTGTCATTCATGTTTGCATTTTGTATGTATATGCATACGCACACGTGCATGTGCCTGTGTGGGTGTGCGTGTGTTTGAGAGTGAGAGTGTTTGTGTGTGTGTGTTTTAGGGAGGGATGGGGCTTTGAGAAAAAAGATTTAAGGTATGAGCAATAGGGGAAAGAGACTGACTAGAGTTAAAAGAAAGGGTATGGGGTAAAGACTGAGAGGGCAGTGAGAGACAGAGAGAGGGGAAGAGAGAGAGAGAGAGAGAGAGAGAGAGAGAGAGAGAGAGAGTATTTGAGTTGGAGAGATAAAGAGAAATTGAGCAAGAAAAAGAAATAGATACATTGAGAGAGAGAGAGAAAGAGAGAGAGAGAGAGAGAGAAGTTTGTAAAAAAAATAAAGACACTGAGAGACTGTTGCTGCTTATTCTACAAATTCGCTTGCAATGACAACTGCAAGGTGAGGTCTGTGTGGCAGTATTTTGTCTTGCCAGTACACTACCACCATCTGGCTGTGTTGCCCAAACACATTTGTCCACCCTGGTATTGCTCTCATCTTACCAGGGTAAGGTCCTACTGTCCCTCTTTCTATTGCGCCATCTTTCTTGTTATTTCTAAACATTAATTGACTGTTCTCGTGTCGCTACGCTTCTTATGATTGCAACTCAAATTCTGTTCGTGTTAAATATTATGTGAGTGGGTGGTTGAAGGTCACCACTGATGAAAGCCTTACTTCTTTACTCTCCCCTCCCCCCTTTTTTGTGTCTGTCTGCGGTGCAATTTCCCAGCATTGAACGATTGTTACTGTGCTTTTCTTTACTTAAACTCAAATTCAATTTCTGGAGTAGTCAATGAGACGGTGATATTAGGGCACCGTTGATTGGCCTACTTCTTGTCTGCCTGTGTGTCTTGCATTTTCCCAGCATTAAATAACTGTGTTCCTGTCGATGTGCTTCTTTCTACTAAAAACTCACTTTCATTTCCAATGAAAGTCAGTGAGCTTGAGATCTTTGATCGTACATGTATCGTGCGCCCTTAGAAACGAAGTGACTATTCGGACTCGAGTCCGAATATGAAAAAATGTTATTCGGACTCGAGTCCTCGAGTCCTCGAGTCCGAATATGAAAAAATGTTATTCGGACTCGAGTCCGAATATGAAAAAATGTTATTCAGACTCTGATTCTTGTCCAGCATGACATCACTTCCGACTTCCTGTGACTCGTGACTCCGGCTTCCTGTCCTGCCTCACTCGTGACTCGCCTCAGGCTGGGTAGAGACCGGGATCACTTCGGGCAAAATGGCGTCAAATTGTGCCGGAGCCGAGTTTTTATCTTATGATGAATTTGAGGCCGGCCTGAAAAGTTACAGCGCTTCTAACAGAGCTGGTAGTAACGGAGTACAAGTACTCCGGTACTTGTACTTACGTTACAATTTTCGGTACTTTTACTGTACTCCGGTACATTTTTGAAACCAGTACTTTTACTGTACTCCGATACTTTTTATAAAAGTACTTTTGAGTACTTTTTAAGTACATTTTGAGTACTTTGGTAGCTTAATGAAAGGGTAAGTGCAGGCACTTCTGATCATAATTTACGGAACAAAAACCCGATCAACCGCCAAGAGTTAAAAGTTGAGATCAAAGAACGGCCCGTCGCCTCAAAGATCAGCCACTATCGTGAATGTGATCACAAGCGTTGTAAAACTCCATGAAACGGTACAGTGTTTGCTCCAGACGGGATCACACCAAGGTGTGAACTGACCGATGCGTTTCTTTTCCCCAAACATCGCACTCGCATCTGACCTCACCACCTAAACTTACATCACTCCCTGGGTGGGTAGGGCCTACAAGTTCGCTCCAGGCGGGATCACATCAAACTGTGAACTCTTCCCTGACCATTGAAAGCAGTTTTTCCCGAGTCTGCGAGACAACCTGAATTTTAATTAGTGTGGTCACATCGTAATGGTGCGTAACGACAAAGGAGGTGGGGGGGGGGGGGGGACTCAATCAGAGATGGAAAGCTAAAATTGTTGGACAGGTAAAGGGGAGGGGCAACTGGATAAACGTAGATAAAGATCTCAAGACTCACGATAGGCTAATGAGTGTGTATATATAATAATATTTATGGCATGCCTCATGCCACTGTGATTGGTAATCAAGGTTGACCACTCTTTGCTTGCCATATGTCATAAATCCACCCAGGGGTCACGTCAGTTCATGGGTCACTGTAGATTCTTCCTTGGCTTCATTGGCTAAGATCCCATATTTTCCTTGCTTCCGAGCACTGGGATCTTTGGCGGAGACTACTGCAGTAGAGAATCTTTGGTTACACTACACTTACTAGACTCTAGGAAACTATTGTATTTTGGTTTGCCGTTGGCGCCGTGGACTACACAGTGTGACCAAAATCTGTCAGACCACTATAATCAATTGAAACTGAAACTGTGTTCTCAATGTGTATCTTACAATTTTTAGGCTGTCTAAATTTCTTTTAAACTTTTTTTGGGTGGTTTTTGCTTAAGGCTACATTGATTCCTTGAGGATTTGTTAATGAAGAATTCAATGCACTTTTCCATTTCTATGCGGGCCATTTTCATCAATTTTATGTTTTCT